TTTAAAAATTGCTTTGAAAGTAATTGAATTGATGCAAACGATTTTAATATAATATTTGAATATAATTCAATTCTTTTGAAGAATTTTAATTAATTATAATTAATTGCCGAATTTTAATGAAATTGTATTGAAAAGAATTGAATTCATCCGAAAGATTTTATATTGAACTTTTGAAAATAATTCAATTTTGATTAATTCAAATAAAATTTTATTAATAATATTTGAATAATTGAATTTTTTTCGTGAAATTTTATTAAAATTCTATTGGAATTAATTCAATTCTTTTGAAGAATTAAAAAAAAAATATTGAAAATAATTGAATTTCTGCAAAGAATTTTATTATTTATAAATAATGATTCACGAACCAAACGTTTGTTTAAATCAATTAAATATTTATTTACAACACTTGAAAAAATTTATTTTATTCTAATAATGAATTTATTGATTCAAATACAACTTAAATAAGTTAAAAAACTTTAAACTTCCGTTTAAAAAAAATTATTTGATTTAAAGAAATATTTACTTATTTTTAAATTTATAAATAAAAAATAGTTAATTGAATGAAATAAATTTTTTTTAGTGTAAAAATTTATTTATTTTTTTTTAAATTTATTTTTTTTTAAATGTTAAACTAAACATTGAAAAATAATCTAAAAAGTCCGTTTGTATAATAATAAAAAAGCATAGTATCTGATTGAAAAATAAATTTTCCCTGAGTGTTTAACAAATAATAGTTTTGAGTTAAACTTACATGCATCATTCGTTTTGTACTCATTGTTTTTTCTTTTCTTTTTCGTGTTTTGTTTTTGCATAATATGGAGTTTACATTTATATATACAGAGAAAGGAAATGTTGAATAAAATTCGAAGAAGAAAATTGCATGGCTTGACAATACACATTGACTGAGGTTGTTCGTTTCGACATGATTAGAGAAGGACGTAACAGCAGGTAACTATTTGAAGTACAACACAGCGTAGGCGGGCTGTTTGCGTAAGAAAATCCAATTACGTTGAAGAATCAACGTCAGTCTTTTTACTCTTCCTACCCCTTCTTCTGAACTTTATATATATATATATTCCGTTTCTTTCGTGCAACTAATGAAGTCTTACCCCAGGAACGACAGATACAATCTGCCTGCACACGTACAGACGCACAAATACATATATGTATAAATAAAAGATGTTTAATCAATTATGTTGATATTATAGAAAATGTGAAATAGAATATACTTGGGAATTTAGTAGAAGATTATAAATTTTGTCAGGCGAAATCGAACCCTATTGGTTTTAAAATTTGATTTATTAGTGGTGAAGGAAAGTTTCACTCAGACAGAATTAAGAATTTTTTTTTGCTTCTTGTTTTAGTAGTAAAAGTCGGGTACAGTCAGACGGAATATTATACTTTTTTTGTCTTTTGTTCTCTGATTTTCAATTTTTCTAATTTTCCAGTAACAGTGGTAAAAATTTAATTTTAGGCAGACATTTCAATTTTTGAGAATTTTGGTCTCAGTGGTAAAAGATAGTTACAGTCAGACAAACGTTTTTTGAATTCTTTCACCATTTATTTTTTATTTATAAATTTCATCTTCAACTCTTCTTAATATGCTCTTCAACTTTTTCCTGATATCAATGATAAGATTTAATTTCAGTTAGATTTTAGAAATTTTTGTATTAGTGGTAAAAGAAATTTTTAGTCAGACCAACGTTCCTCGTTTTTCTTTTAGACTTTTTTAAAAATATTTATTCATTAATTTTCAAATCTTTTAATTTCTAAATTAGTGGAAAAAATTAAATTTTAGTCAAACTTGAATTTTTGACAAAAGTTTTCGTATCAGTGGTAAAAACTGGTTACAGTCAGACAAAGTTTTTTTTTTTAATTCTTATACTATTTATTTTCTGTTCATAAATTTATCTTCAACTCTTCTAAATGTGCTTTACAACTTCTTTTGATATCAGTGGTCAAATTTAATTGTAATCAGACTTTTTAATTGTTGACAATTTTGAAATTAGTGGAAAAGATATTTTCAGTCAGACCAATGTTTCTCGATTTCTTAAATTTCTTTTAACATTTTTAAAAATTAAATTCACTAATTTCCATGTCTTTCAATTTTGATATTAGTGGAAAAAATTTACCCTTAGACAGGCGTTAATTTATGACAAATGTCATATTAGTGGTAAAATCAAGTTTTAGTCAGACAAACGTTTCATAATTTCTTTTACCATGATTTTTGATGTTTATTTATTTATCTTAAACTTTTTGCTATTTCGATATCAGCGGTAAGAATTAATTGTCGTCCAACTTTTTAATTTTCGCAAATTTTTGAAAAAAGTGATAAAAGCCATTTTTAGTCAGACAAATATTATTCCTAATTCTTTCACCATTTATTTTCCATTTATAAATTTATCTTCAAATCCTTTTAATATACTCTTTATCTTCTTTCTGATATCAATGATAAGATTTAATTTCAGTAAAATTTTTATATTAGTGGTAAAAGCCATTAGGAGTCAGACAAAAGTTTCACGATTTCTTTCAGCATTTTTAAAAATATTTATTAACTAATTTCCATGTTTTTTTTTAATTTCGATATCAATGGAAAAAATTTAATTCCATTCAGACTTCAATTATCGACAATTTTGGTAGCAGTGATAAAAGCTAGTTATAGCCAGACAAACATTTTTCTGAATTCTACCAACGTTTCTCGATTTCTGTTAAAATTTTATAAAATATTTATTCACTAATTTCCGTGTCTTTTAATTTCAATATCAGTGGAAAAAATTTCATTTTAGTCAGACTACAATTTTCGTCAATTTTTGGTATCAGTGGTAAAAGCTAGTTAGAGTCAGACAAACATTTTTCTAAATTCTTTCATCATTTGTTTTCTATTTTTAAATTTATGTTCAACTCTTCTTAACATACTATTCAACTTCTTCCTGATATCAATGATTTAGATTTAATTTCAGTGAAATCTTTAATTTTCGCAAATTTTTGTATTAGTGGAAAAAGTCATTTTGAGTCAGACAAATGTTTCTTGATTTTCTTTACCATTTTTTGAAATATTTATTTACTAATTTCAAATTCTTTTTATTTTAATATGAGTGATTAAATTTAATATAAGTTAGACTTCATTATTTTTGATAATTTTCGTATTAGTGGGAAAAGCACGTTTTAGTCAGACTTCAATTTTCAAAAAATAGTTTGATGTCAGTGGTACAGGTCAATTACAGTCAGACAAATGTTTCTTAAATTATTTTATAATTTTTACATTTATTCTTTAATTTTCAACTCTTCTAAAATAAAAATACTATTATTATAAAAATTATTAATATAAAAATACTATTATTTTAATATTATTATTTTTTTATTACGATTTTATAATCTGCTATTATTGTATTATTGCAATGATACTTTCTAATAAATATGAATATTATTTTTGTAATAATAAAAAGAATAATAATAATATTAATGATAATTAATATTATTATTATTATAAATATACGAATTTCTTAATTACTCAATTCATTCGTTTTTCAAAATTGTTTTATTTGTTGATTTAACTGTTGTAAAATAAATCAACTGTTTTTAAAATAAACCGAAAAAAATATAATTACTTTTCAGTAAAGAAAATCATTTAGGATTTTTATTTTTAATCGATTAATTAGAAAAAATCCAATAATGGCATTCAACTGCAATTGAAATATATAAATAATAATAATAAATTATTTGCGATTATTATAAAAATATTTTTAAATGTAATTTTTTTTTTTTTGAAAAAAGAAAAACAAATATATTGATACGTAATTTATCGCATATAATACGCAATAAAAGTGTGTTGAGAATATGATATAAGGCGGTGGGTCACGTTTTCCTTATCGGTTTATGACGTTCGCAAGGTCGTTTGACGTCCTCGAAATGACCATAATTCTGCATTTAAAAAGAAAAGAAGAAGAAGAAGAAAAAAAAATTAGCTCGAGAGAACCTCCCATAAGAACAATATTACATAGCATGCGTGGGTGCACTCGGATGTCTTATATGACGACTCAAACCGAGAGAAAATTTTATTTCTCGATAAAAATCAATTCCATAACAATTCAAATAAAATACATGAATATTTTAAAATCACATTATACGTTTCCAATTATATATATCTGTGAGCTTCTGTTTTTTATATTATTGAATTTTCGTATTTTTATATGTTCGTTTTTTCTTTATTTTTCTATTGTATTCTTCTATCCTTTTTCTAATTTTTCTATTCTTTTTTATTTGTCTATTTTTTTCTATTATATTTCTCTACTCTTTTTTTATTTTTTTATTATCATTAACGTCTGTTACTATTTATATATTTATTTACTTTTTGTATTCTTTTTCTTATTCTCCTGAATTATATTTTTCTATTTTTCCTCTTTTCAAATATTTTTAATTCTTTATTTATTTGTGACGCGCTTCAAAAATAAGGTACCTGAAAGAAGCAAAAAAATTTTAAGCTATGTTTGTAATTTTTAAATTAAAAATACACAAAAGGTATCACTTCTCAATATAAATGAATATTTACTTAAATAATCATTACATCCAAAATATTTAGTAAAACTTGTTTTTATTTTTACGGAATTAAATAGAAACTTTTAATTACAGGAAAAAATAAGATAAATAAAAATTTTATTTGTGCTTGATACAATTTTTATTTCAAACGAATAAATAATTTAGTAGGCTCGTGATTTTTTAAAAGTTTTAATGTTAATAACATTGAATTCAAGTGGAATTAAAAAAATAAATAACTTTATTCAGTACTTATTTGTCAAGCAAAATATATTTAATTTGAAAAGAAAATATAATTTCTTTATCAACGTAATATAAATCAAGAAATTTTTGTAAAGCGCAAAAAAGTTTTAGAGGTTGAAAGAAAAAATGTGATAAAGTTAAAGTCGTTAAAAAAATTGATTATATTTTATGATTTTTTACGTATATAAGCATGCATTCTTCTATTTTCATACTATAACAGTGCAAGTGTTGAAAGAAAGAATATTCATAAAAAAATCAAAAATGCATTCTCAAAGTACATTTTCAATAGCGCTTACTTTGATTTCTTTATTGATGGCTGGACAAGTTTTAGTTCATGGAGAAAAAAATGTAAGTTTAAGAAAAAGAAAATTTATTTAAACTGTTTTTTCATTATTTTCATTTTTGTATTCATTCTTATTACAACAAGTTTTATTAATCTGCACTCAAACAAAAGTAATGTTATATTTAGATTTTAGAGGGAAAATCCTCTTATAATATCCTCTCATAAAAAAATTATTCCACTTATTATGAAGAATATTTTTACTCTTTGGTGGTTTTTTAAAAAAACAAAACAATTTTTTATACTGTCAAAAACATTGAACACCAGTAAAAAATCGCTGATAAGTTGTAAATTTTTTTAATTCTCTTTGTTATAATTTCATGAGCAAAATAAAATTTTTAATTTAAATGAATCCGCTAAAAAAAAGATTACTTTCTTTAGGGTGTGGTAAATAATAATAGTTTTAGAAGTAAACAATAAAACTGCTTTTACTAAAATAATAATAAATAATAGAATAATAATAATAATAATAATAATAATAATAATAATAATAATAATAATAATAATAATAATAATAATAATAATAATAATAATAATTTAAACATATTTTTTTGGAAAAATTATGTCATAACTTTATGTATCTGTTACTTGCATTTTTCATAAATGATAAGATTTTAAATAAAAAAATAAAAAAAAAATAAAATAAACGATTGCATTAAAAAAATAATACCTTTCTGTAAATTCACAAAAAAAATATTTAGATATCAAAGAATTATGAAACGTTAATATTTATCTTTTTAAAAAAATAAAAAAAAATTATTAATTTTCATGACTCACTATACAGCTACGATAAGGGATTCAGTTTTTCTAAAAACTATTCTTTAATATTTTGTTTTACGATTTTAAAATTTTTAAAATATTCAAATTCTAAATATCTTCTTTTTCTAATGAAGTTTAATTTTTAATTATTATTGTTTTAATGATTTTTTTTTTGTATATTCTGTATGTTTTACAAATTAAAAGTTTTTACAGAAATTAATTTTAAAAATTAATACTTCTTAGAAAAGTTTATATAAAACATCAATAATGTTCAGAAGATCTAATTTTAAAAATTACTGGTTTCTAGAATACATTCGATAAAGGCAATTATTTAAAAATGTCTTTTCTTAGAAAAAAAGATATATTAGAAAATATTTTTTAGAAAAAGTCACTCCCAACCGTTACACAGGAAAGAAAGTTATTATCAAATTTTAAAAAAGTATTTTACAAGTGTAGGACAAAATGCAAATAGGTAAAAATATTAGAACTATTGATATTAGAACTACTGAACTTTAAAAAAACTTGCATAACATTTAGTAAAGTTATATTAAAATTTGTTAAATGTTTTTGATACTTGATGTAACTTGATATTAGAACTACTGAACTTTAAAAAAAACTTGCATAACATTTAGTAAAGTTATATTAAAATTTGTTAAATGTTTTTGATACTTGATGTAACTTGATATTAGAACTACTGAACTTTAAAAAAAACTTGCATAACATTTAGTAAAGTTATATTAAAATTTGTTAAAAGTTTTTGATACTTGATGTAACTTTACTAAATATTATATAATTTTTTTTAAGTTTAGTGCTTCCGATATAAAAATTTACCTTTGTAGCATTTTGTCCTGCACTTGTAAAATACTTTGATAAAATTTGATAATAAGTTTCTTTCCGTGTATATATTCTAAAAATACTACATGAAAAATAAGTCGAATTTGAGAATTTTTCTCACAATGAGTATTTTATAGGTAGACGACAAGGAAATCAAGTCATATATGTTTGAAAACAATATTTGCTCTATTTACGATAACTCTTTAGAAATTGATTCCGTACTTTTCAAAAAAGAGTACAAGCCTTTGGTAATAATTATAGCAGATAAGATAAGTAATGGTATAAACAGAGTTATAAGTTTAAACGGAAGCAAAAGAATATTAAATGATACTGGGATCAAGAATAACCCTTATTACAGTCAGTTACATCAAACTATATCGAAATATATCCATTTATACCAAGCCAACGACACATATTATTTTGTTCTGCCAACAGGCTTTCAAGACCATATTTTGGTCATATATTCCCAAAAGAAGTTGTTAGATAACAATTTAGGTATTACTTTTGATTTTGTTAATGTAAAGAAAGAGTTTCCTTTCTTTGAAGATATTTTAATTCCATTGAATCCAGGCTGCACCAATTGCACTTTTGTAAAATATGTAAACGGCAAACTAGAGAAGGGTGAAAGCTTCTCGGAATTATTCGATTTACGTAAACAATTATTTAGAGAAAAAGAAGCAAAAAACTTATCCTTTATGGCAGTCAATGATTATGATATTTGTGATTCGATTGGGTTTAACATAAATTCTCAAAGCATGAGTTCTCTATTGCATTTTAATTCATTACTAAAACAAATTCAAAACGATAGGGAGAGTGGAGAAAAAAATAAAAAAAGATATGCTGTAAGTCAAAGCTTAAGATGCTTTGAGGTAAGACATCTGGAAGAGGTAGAAGATATTATTTCTGGGAATGAACGTAAACTAAATTTTAAAAACTTGATGAATACGATGAACTACTTAAATTGGATTATTAACAATGTATCTGCTTTGAAGAGCAATGATGTTTCATTTGGCGGTCTTTGTGAAAATGAACACAATATAGATATGCTAAAATTATTTTGTTTTATAAACAAAATATCAGATGATACATCTCACAGAATACCAGAGTGGATATATAGGTTAAAAAAATTTGTTGCAGCATCATTGATAAATAAATTCGATTGGTTTCAGGAATTAAAACTTTTCTATACAAATGATTATATTAAAAGAAAAGATTTAATTTTTCCATTACTTGATAATCTTAAACATAAAATGTTAACTGCTAGCAGAAATTTGAGTTATTTGATGAATATTACCTATAAAATTGTTGAGAATTCATTGGTAAGTTTTAAACCAATAATTTACAAATTATGACATTTTATGGTAACTTTTTTTTATGTATTGGTGTAATTTATTTAAGATTTAATTTTTATTGTGAAAAGATAAGAACAATGTGAGCCTTAACAAATTGTTTACAAAATATTCTAATTATAATAATTATAGTAAATAATTAAAATATTTGGTGTTTACAGACTACAAATACTTATTTTACCTATGACCTTAAGTACTTTTCAATCTGCACTATTTACGAACATTGGGAAACAATTGATGATATATTCTTTGAGGTGAAATTCAAGAGATTAGTGATAATCGTAGTAGATGACATGAAACAAGGGATCAGAATTGCTAAACAAATAAGAGGTAACAGAGTAGTACCAAAAGTTATGCGAGAAGATCTTCATTATTCTGAACAGTTTTTGTACGATTTCATAATGAAACATATTTATTTGGTTCAATCCAATGATACTCATTATTATGTCTACCCAACAATCGACGGCAGAAATAGCAACTCATTGATTAGCTATTTGGAATACAAGATGATTAGAGATTATTCCAATGTTATATTTTATAATGTAAATGCTGGGAAATATTTTCCTTTTGATGAACGACTTAATCTTGATAACAGTGATTTGGTTATTCCTGCGCTACCAGATTATTGTCGCATACCTTCAGGAAGGTGTAAGAAGCGCTACATAAATCCCTCATATTTAATAAAAGTAAATCAAGAGTTTTTAAAGCGCTTTCCAAAATATCTTTCTTTATATACTTTCATTTACAATAACTTGACAGAATTTACAAATAATTACGATTCACACCATAAAGACAATTACTACTCTTCGTACCATCAAACATATTATGACTTTGCTAAAGAACAACAATTTACTTATGACATAATCTATATATTTATAGATTTGCCATGCTTATCGAAGCTGAAATTAAATAACAGAACTGATATTGATTTTAATATGACTGAAGTAGGTGATGTTCTTAACTTTTATAAGTTACTATATTCAACTTTACAAAATATAACATCAATAAATGACAGAAACAAAATAAATCTAAAATCTCTTTGTAGTAATAAGAATGTTTTTAAATTTCTTAAATTCTTTTGCTTTTTAAAAATAAATTATATTGAAAGCATGCTAAAAGTTATTGATCAGAAGTCTTATGCAATTGACTATATGAAAAGTATTGTTGAAAGTGAGAAAAATTATATTACTGAATATTTGTTAAAGACGATGGATTGGATAGAGAAATTACTATCAGTGGATTACATTGATTATAAGTACAATGAAACTCGAATGATTAAAGAATCAGACGCTCTTTACTCGGTAATACCAAAAATTACTTTAAATGGTGCTGATTTGTCCAACAAAATCTACTCGATTGTTAAAAACAATACGATTTTTTTGCAATGTAATGAATTAGGATTTGTTGCTACCAAAAAAACCAATTCAAATGCTGATGATTCGTCAACAGAAAACTATTTAGTATTAAGTGAAAATAAAATGTCTCCTCAATTTCAAAAAACAGTTATTAATAAAGAGGAAAAAATATCCTCGTGTCTTGTACCTAGTTACATGTAAGCTTTCAGGAAACATTCATTGTAAATTTGCTGCATTGGCAAAATGTTCTCCAAACCTCAACAGAATGTAGCGCAATAATAAATAATAATTTCATTCTCGAATTACCAAAACAATATACATAAGTAATTTTATTATTAGTTATAAAATTTAAATCGAAAATTGCTATAAATACAAATTTTTGTTTATTCGAACGTATACGAAATATTTAGGATTGCATTTTATTTCTTTATTATTTTTTTCTCTATAATATAGAAACATCTAGGTCTCTTTCTTCGCGACGCGTCTCGTTTCTATATTTTTCTTATTTTTATACTTCTTTTTCTTGTTCTTCTATTTTATTTTTAATTTTTATATTTATTTTTTTTTCTTTTCATTTTTACTGTGATTTTTATATTCTTTTTCTTCTTTTCCTAAATTATTTTTAAAAAATATTTTTCTGTTTTTAAATTTTCAATTCTTTATTTATTTATTTGTTACGCTCTCCGATGAAAGGTACTTAAGAAGTAAAAAAATTTTAGATTATGTTTGTAATCTTTAAATTAAAAATACACAAAAGTTATCAATTGGAAAATTATTTATATCACTGATATTTAAGTTTTCAATTGATAACTTTTGTGTATTTTTATTTTAGTTTTAGTTTTACGGAATTAAATAGAAACTTATAAAAAAAAATTTAATTTTGTAAAAAGAAAGACAAAACCTTAAAATTATTTACTTCTTTGGAGTGCGTCACATTTACTTATTTATTTAGAATTAAACAGATGGATTTCCACATTTTTCTATTTTAATAAAATTGATATGCAATCAATTCTCAATAATTGGCAGAAATCATGAAAAAAAAATTAATAAATTTGCAATTTTGAATTTTCATTCAGTTAAATACATTAGTTATAGATATTATGGATGGAAACGTATAAAAGGTTCCGGGGTCTTGGCAATTATATGTGATGGTTAAATACAATTAGTTCGCATTCTTATATATATATATACATATGAACGTTGAAGGGGATTAATAGACGATCCCTTCATCATTAATTTCTGATTTCATTATACCGAGGCAGTTTGCAAGATATGTGCATAAAGATATATATATGAAGTCAAGTTTATACATATATACAATGCACAATCATGCTAAATAAAAGACGCATCGATTTATTTATCATCACGTTTATTCCCAACCAGTGCGAAATTATTAAAAAACTTTTTAAACGTTAAATTTTTTCCAAATTTTTCCAAAGTGGAAATTTTTCACTAACCGGGAAATTCGGAAAATATCTGGGAATTTAATTTGACCGGGAAAAATTGGGAATAAACCAGGAATTATTTATGCCAAACCGTGAATTTTTTCACTAAAATTGAAAAAAGTTTTATTATTTTAATTTGTTTTTAAAAACTTGCTTTTTATTTCAATTTTTATCGACATTTATACTGTTCTCTAAATTTGTATTAGTTAAAAATAATTAATTTGATAGTAAAAAATCAGTAACTGATTAAAATTTAGTATGCAAATAAATTTTTAAAGAAATTATCAAACTAATAGAAATTCTGTGAAATTCAACTGAAAATAATTAAATTTGTTAAAGACTTTTATTAAAAACTTTTTTACAAATCGAATTTTCAAAGTATTTTAATTTAATAATTGATAAATAATTGAATTTTATAAAGAGTTACATTCTAATGTATTCATGTTTCTTAGTGCGAAGATTAGTAATTACAATTTTTATTAGTAAATTTAAAAAAAGATACTTAACATTTTTTAATAAAATTGAATTTTCGCAAAGTTTTTTTGAAAAGACTGAAAAATAAGATTTTTGAAATTTTTCAATTCTGTTATTTCAAGATAATTGAATTTTTATAAACAAATAGTTGAAAATTTTTGAAATAATTGAAATTTCTTTACATTCTATTAAAACTAATAAACTTCTTTTAAAGAATTTTATTTAAATTTTTCGAAAATAATCAAGAAAAGTAATAGTCGCCGTAATTATAATTTTATTTTAAAAAATTTCTTCGCAATATATTCAATTATTTTCATTACTAATAGAACTCATTGGAGAATTTCAATTATTTTTAATACAATTTTAATCGAAGTTCTCGAGAAATGTAATTATTTATAATCTTAAAAATTTTATTAAAATTCGTCGAAAGAATTCAATTATTTCTAGAAACTGAAAAAAAAATCTTCTCAAGAATTCTATTATTGCCAGAAATAGCATAATTCTTCAGATTTACTAAATTCTTTTGAATATTATTTTTAAAAAATATTCTTCACAAGAATTCAATTATTATCATAAATTTCCATAAAATTTATGAAATTTAAAGAACAATTCAATTATTTTCAAAAATAATAAAATTCATTGCAGAAATTCAATTATGTTTAAAAACTTTTTAAAATTCTCCTCAAAATTTCAATTATTTTTATAAATAATTAAATTGCTTTCCACAATTCAATTATTTTCAAAAATTTTAATAAAATTCTACGCAAACATTTAATAATTATTTTCATAAACAACAACATTCTTTGGAAGGATTCAATTACTTTTATAAATAGTAAAATTCTTTGCGGAAATTCAATTATTTTTAATACAATTTTAATCGAATTTCTCGAAAAATTTAATTAAAATTCGTCGAAAGAATTAAATTATTTCTAGAAAATGAAAAAAAAATCTTCTCTTTATAAATAATAAATTTTTTCTCAGAAATTCAATTATTTTAGAAAATTTTTAATTATTTTCATAAATAAAAATAAAATTCATCGAAGGATTTTAATTATTTTTTATACAATTTTAATCGAATTCCTCGAAAAATGGAATTATTCTTAAAAACTTTATTAAAATTTGTCAAAAGAATTCAATTATTTAAAAATTTGTTGATAAAATTCTTTATGAGAATTAAATTTTAATAAACATTCAGTTATTTAATAAATTATTCAATTTTTAATTTAAATAATTGAATTCCTTTAGAATTTTCTGATAAAAAATGACTTAAAAATGAATTACCGAATAATCGATTTATTATTTAGAAAAATAATTGAATTCTTGCGTTGAATTTTATTACATTTTTTTTTAAATAATTGAATTTTTTTGAGAAATTTTACTACTTGCAAAAATAATTGAATTCTTGCGAAGGATTTTATTAAAATTTTTGTAAATAATTAAATTTTTTTTGAAAAATTTTATGATAATTTAAATTATTACAAAATATTAATTAATAGGTATAATTAATATAATTAATAATATAATTAATATAATATTTAATATAAAATGATTAATATAATATTCTTATAGGTTGTTGAATTTCAAAAAGGTTTGAATTTGAATGTTTTGAAGAATTTTAATTCCTACTGAAAAATAATAATGATCAAATATTTATTTAGAAAAGAAGTTATTGATGTTTTCGAATTATTGTACAATTAAAGACATTAACAAATAATTGTATTAAGAATATTTTTTTGAGTATCTAATAATTTTTAGAGTGAATTAGAATATGCTTTAGGGTCAGGGAGAAAGTTAAAATTTTGATCAGGGAAAAGTCAGGGAAAAATAAAATTAAACATTTTTTGGGAACTCTGATTAAATTAAAATTCTTTGAAAATTCGATTTTTCAAAAAGTTTTTAATGAAATTCTTTAACAAATTTAATTATTTTTAGTCGAATTTCACAAAATTTCTATTAATTCGATAATTTTTTTCTCAAATTTTTTTACATACTATATTTGAATCAGTGAGTGATTTTTTACTATATAAAATTAATTATTTTTAACTAATTTAAATTTATAGAGAACAATATAAATATCTATAAGAATTGAAATAAAAAGCGATTTTTTAAAAACAAATTAAAATAATAAAACTTTTTTTAGGTGAAAAAAATTTCCGGTTTGGCATTAAATTCCTGGCTTATTCCCGGCTATTTTCGGGTCAGTATTGAGAAAGGTATAGGAAATAGCGAAAATTTTTCTACTGATTCATTTGAAACAATTATTATTTATAAGAATGTACATTTCAAAAAAAAATTGTATTCGGAAATAATTTTTTGAATTCAAAGTAAAAAAATAATATCAAATTTCTCAAAGAAACCCTGCCTTATATATACTTGAATTATATAAAGAATAATAAGAATGAAAATCAAGTTTCAATTTGCCATCACAAGTAATTGAAAGTACAAATAAGAAAGATCAGCATTGGAATGTTTAGTGAAATCCTATTAGAATTATATTGATCATGAATTGGATTTTTCCTTGATTTCAAAGTGGAAGAAGCACAGCGTGACTGACCTGAAATGCAAAAGAAAAAGCAAAGAATGAAGAAGGAAGAGAAGAAGAAGAAGACTAACTCAAGAGAGTTGCACAAGGTCCAAACAGGATTAAAAGAAAAAAAAAAGAAACCTAAGACCAAGAAAGGAAAGGTTGGTGATTGTGACAGGGTAGGATGGTTACAAGCAGGGGGAGAGGGGTGTTTTAGAGAAAAGAAGAAGAAGAAGAAGACGACGACGAAGAAGAAGAAGAGGGTATTAGAGATGACCTTGAGAAGTCGTGACCTTGGAAAGAGCCTCGGCAAGGACGTCATGGTTACATGGCGAACGTTTCAGTCCATTGCACTTAATCTGAGAGATGCTACACGAGAGAAAGTTGAACTTGTTCCGCAATCTTTCTTTCAATTTTTTCGTCACAAAAAAAAAATAAAAAACAAAAAAAGTATCACCAGAAAAAGACAAACTTTAAATCTCATTTTACATTTTACGCACCACAAAGGAGAAAATTTGAAAACACATCCGTTTCTTAAGTCTCGAAAAAAAAAATTTCACCCGTCATTCAGAAAATTATGACCAAAGATCGATTTCCAACTTCTTTTTATAACCCTTTTTATCGAGAGATTATAAATTTCAACCGAGCTTTCGAAAATTGCGATAACCTTTTGACCACTAGCATGAGACGTATATATGTAATTTCATATGGAAATTTTTTTTCCCCCTGTCAAAAGAATTACAAGGCGAAAAATTTGCGATAAAGTATCAAACTCTTCATTTTCTATTTATAAAGATTACCTAGATTAATTGAATTCTTTTTTTTTGCAAAAATATTGTGAAATAAAGTAGTTCGCGATGCGTC